TAACTCCCCAGTGGAGCTGCAACCCAGACCAAATCCTTCAAACTGTAGTCTCCAGGGACCTCCTGAGAAAAAGTGTGAGCAAAGACGGGGGGGGGGGAAGTGTGAAAAAGACGGGAGGCGGGCGACTCTGACAGACAGAAAGCAACAGCTCAAAGGGATGGCAGGCTGCATTTTATTCATCGTTAATTTAAATACCCTTCAAGTCCTCTCTTGGAGTGCTGTGCAGAAAAATAAATGTATTGTTTAAGAAACCCTGCAGGCTTGCCCCACATGCTCTAACCCCCCTCCTGAGAGAACACGCAGCATAGAAAATTATTTGTAAAGCAAGAGAGAGCTTCCTTAGGGAGGGAGGAGGAGAAGAGGCTGAAAGAAAGGGGAAGAGGGCCTCAGGCCAGGTTAGTGCAGAAATCTCATTGCTTCTCAATGCATAATGAGATTGGCTTGGCATGGTGCAGAGATGGCACACTCTGGGGGCCTGAGGTGCCAGAGTTGATCCAGGGCTGAGAGTCCGGGCCCCAAGTCCATGCTAAAAAGTTGTCCTACGGGGTCAGGAATGGCTTCAGCAGGCCTTTCCTTTGCCCCTTCCCACCCCACAGAGTGAAGCCCCTTCAGAGTCACCCGCAAGCATTATACAACAACCAACCACTGCTCCAAATAAACGAAGCTCCAGTTCCTCTTCTGGACTCAGACATGCCCTAAGCTGTCTGTCTGGATGTGCCCTCCAGACAGTGTGCATGTAGAATTGTGCTTTTTATTTTTTAATAAAGTAAAAAGTTACAGTAAGATGAAACCAGGTGGCCCATAGTTCCTGTGGTGTCTGCCTTGCCAGGCTGCCGTTTGCCTCAGTTTCCCAGAAGTTTCTCCTTTGGCCATGAGGGCTTAGTCACTCCTCACCTCAGAGCCTACAAGAAGAAGGGGTCTTCTGGAAGGCCTGTTTGAGGAACAGAGGGTCCTGGGTCAATTTAGCAGCTATTTTCCAGGAATTGGCTTCAGTTTGGATGCTGGCTTCTGTGTAAAACACAAATACATGCAAATTGTACATAAAACTACCCCAAGATAGAGAGGAATTTTCTAGATCCTAGTAGAGCTCTAAGGAGTTTGAAGTTAAAAGTCTTTCTTCTTAAAGTAGGCCAGACTGGAATTTTTTCCTTGGAGAAAAGGGCTAGTAGCTTTTTGTAAGGCTGATGTGTGTGCACATGTGAGTGATGCTGTGCAAATGTCCAGGGCTATCTGCATTTACCATCAGCTTAAGGAAGGTCTGAGACTACCTGAGCCTTCTGGCACATTCTCCAAGCATGGAGACTCTGGCTTCACTCAGACATAGGAGCCTGACCACTTGGCCCTCAGCATCAAGCACACCAAGGGTTTCTTCTTACCTGCTTGCTCTGCTCTGAGAAGGCCCAGCTGCTTGCCAAGACTCTGGCTTCAGTGTGGCCACAGCTACATGGCAAGGGCTTAGAGCCCAGGTCACCTTCATGGGAGCCCCACTGCCCCAACATGAGGTGGCTAAGTGTGGGCCTATGGCTAGGAAGCTACTCCTGGGGATCTGAGGGAGCTCTAGATTGCAGTGAACTACCAGCCGTGGGCCAAACTGGAGCCACCCCTTCTCCCCTATAATGGCAGGAGAGACCATAGCATCTGAGGGAATGGAGCCCTTTCTTTGCCCCAGCTTCAGAAGAACCCACACTAAGGAAAGGAGTCCCTAACAATGTTGTTGTTCCTGAGATGTTGGGAGGGCCCCATCCCTGCTTGTTAAGTGGTTCTGCTTCTCAGTTCTCACCCTCGAGCAGGATGTCAAACCACATGTCCTTTAGGCATGTGTCTAATACGCCATCAAGTGTCCTGACCTTGGGAACCCCAGCTTTTCAGAGAAGCAGACCCTGGTATCCGGGGCACAAGCTTCTTTGGCACCTTCAACCTGAAGTGAAGGATGACATGCTCTACCATGGCAGTGTGACTAGGATTGGGGTTGGGGAATGGGAACCAGGGAACCTGGGCAAAAATACATGTGTTTCAATGGATCCTGAGCTACCCTTGCACCTTGGAGGACTGGCGTTTCTCTGAGAACCTGATGAGGGGGAAGGAGAGGGCCTCTTTTTCTGCTCCTCAAACCAGACTTATAGTTCCTATAAAAGCATGATTGAGCTGCCCCAGTTGTTTCCTTCCAAAGCCAAAGCATAGGAAAAGAGGTGGAAACAGCCAAGGGTGCAACGTACATAGTTTAGCATAAACTCTAGGAAGCACTGCTCACAAAGAAGTCTGCTAAGTAATGTTTTAAGTCTCTTCCCTGGAGACAAGTCCTGGTCTCTTCTAAGGAGAGGGGATTGCATAGAGTGCTGTGCACTGGTCAGTGGGATGGTGAGGATGCCTCTTTGGACCCATCTAGCATCTAGTTTATAGAATCTTACTGGCAGGGTTTCTTACTCCTGTACTGTTCCTCGGGCTCAATTCTCATGGGTAGGCTACTACTGTGCCTGCAGATTCAACCCTCACAGCCTCCTGCCTCTGTTGTGGGGATCATTTCTCCCTCTGGATGGCTCAGATCCCCACATTATTTCCTGTTGCCTAGGTAACACCCCTAGTTGGATGTCTTCTAATCATTCCTTCTTTTAAAGGGATAAAGCTGGTACTTTGTTTCCGGGTCCTGACCGAGGGCCCACTCTAGAGAACATGCACCTTTCCGAGCGTGCTGTCCCTTCAGTGTAAACGCAGCTATCGCTCAGCTACAGAGCTGGCTTGACAGTCCCCATTGATTCTGGAAGTGTGGTTCTCAGAGAAGTCTACCTTTCAAGATTCAGCAAGACTAACCTTGTTCTTGGCCAACTCTACCTCACTGGCTTCACCCCAGATTAGGGCTTGTGTTTAAAAACCAATTCCTATGCAAATTGGAAATTACAAAAGTAACTGGAGAGTCACTGAGATCCCAGCTAATTTTTTCCTTCCTGACATGAACTAGAAGGGTAAGAGGAGTTTGACATTCAAGCATGACTCTTAGTGTTATGTGTGCGTGTACATGTGTGTTTGTGTTTGTCTGTGTTCTAGGCACATTTGTCAGGGAGGAGACTTCCAGCATTGTTCAGAGTGGTGGGATGATGGCATTTTCCTATGACTTCCTATATATATTGTATATATTGGTGGGTCACACCATATCTGTATAAACTCTGGCATTTGTACTGGGGATTGTCATTTCTTTTTTTTTTTTGGAGGGGTTTTTTTTTTTTTTTTTTTTTTCTTATAGGGCGGGGGGGCTGC